CACATTTCATACAAACTGTTTGTAAACAAAACTTTTACAACACATCCATAGATAACGTGTTTTATATCAAATCAATTTACAATAATTTACAAAATAAATGATAATTCAGTTATTAATCTACAATTTTAATGATATTAGAAATAATATTTAATCAATAATTGATATATTAATACATAATTATTTATAATTATTATAAAATTCATTCAAATATATTTTGTTAATGGCTTTAAAATTTTTATTATAGCTTTACTTCAATTCAATTAATAAATTATATATTAATGTAACCAAAAAACAATTTAGTTCAGAGCAAAAAACCGGATTTAATAGAAATACAAATCTATTTTATTGTGTTATATATTTATAAATTTACTTTTAATAGAAAGTATTTTATGTTTTAACTCAAAACCATTTTGTGAACGGCTTTTAAATGTTGATTCAGTGATGGTTTAGTGAAATAGCTTTTATCACATCCACTAAAATGGCATTTATGGGGACGAATGCCCTGATGTTCGTTCATATGGCCCTGAAGTCGGCGATTATCACCAAATCTCTGGTCACATTCGGGCCAATGACAGACATACGGGTGTTTGTGTGTATTTCTATGCGTCCAAAGATTAGAACGAGACATAAAACTTTTGCCGCAACCGTCAAACGGACACTTGTACTCCCGATTGCCGCTATGTTTGCGCCGGTGTTGATCCAGAGCTGTAGCCCACTTATACGCCGCCTCACATCCGGGCCAATCGCACCGATACGGCCGCTCTTCGCTGTGACATACCATATGTTTAGTGAGGGATTCTTTTCTGTGAAAACTCTTCCCGCAATCGGTCTCTTCGCACACAAATGGCCGCACATTCTGGTGCTTCCGTCGGTGAACATTAAATTCCGTCCGCGAGTTTGTAGCCCACGAACAGCCGCTGACATCGCATTCATATCTATTAATGTTGTGTCGTTTCCCGCGATGTTCTGTCAAAGAGTTATTGGAGGGAAACTTTTCTTCGCAATCATTGCAAGCGAACGGCAGATCTCCGGTGTGTCGGCGCCGGTGTTCGACCAAACTCTCGGCCTTTTTGTACGCCGACTCACATCCGGGCCAATCGCACCGATGCGGCCGCTCATCGCTGTGTTTCCGCATATGTTTCCTGAGGTCGCCTTTAGTAACAAAACTCATCCCACAGTCGGTCTCTTCGCAGACAAACTCTTTGATATTGAGGTGACGTTTCTTGTGATCATTCAAAGCACTCAAACCAATGGTCTCGTACTGGCAGTCATTGTAATCGCATTTAAACTCTTTCTTCACGACAAACGGTTCCAATGAGTGCTTTTGCCGGCGATGAACACAAAGTTCGCTATTCGATAGAAATCGTTGCGGACAGTCGTGACACTCGAATGGCCGGTCGTTTGTGTGGACGCCATCCAAGTGTCTCTTCAGTTTCCATACAGTCGTAAATGCTTTCGTACAGTCAGGCCATTGGCAGCCATAGGGCGGCCCCGGAATCGCCATAAAGTCGTTGTCATCGAAGTGTCCGCTCCTGTGTTGATGTGTTTTAAGAGACCGCTGTTCTGCAAAAGTTCGACCGCAATCGTCGTAATCACATCGAAATTGCTGGTCATCTCTCTCGTGATTCTCTCGATGGCTGTCAAGTATTGACTGATTGACGGCTCGGAAATTGCAATTGTCGTAATCGCACGCAAACGGCTTTAATGTCCTTATATTTAGTTTATTATCCGATTTAATGCTAAACTCTTTGTGTTTAAGCCTTCGGTGATCTTCTAATAGACTCTTTGCTGTGAATGTCTTAACACATCCGTAATAATCGCATACATAGAGGGATGTCTTCGGCGGTGAACTGACACATGACTTCCTCGCCGTCTGTTGTACTCTCTGTCTCTTCGGCTTATTATATGTCGAGTACTTCATCACAGAAAGTGGGGACCAATTGTTGTCTTTCTTCTCGTCTTTATTCTCATTTTCTTTCACATTAATTGTCTCTGTATTTGTGTCAACACATCCATCACTTCCAGTGTCTTTCCCTATCTCTCCTTCATTTACAATGTTTTCGGCGGTCAATGACTGGTCTTCAGTAGTGATTGTCTCCGATCGGTGGCCGACAGGTGTTGTCTGTGTATCCAATGGCCAGTTATGAGTGGTTGTGGTTTGGGTCGAGTGTTGAGCGCATCCATCGGTGATAATAGTCTTGTACTGA